AGGACATTGGACATGTGACTGACGGAAACTTCGTAACATGAGGCATCCATATACAAAGTATGAAGCATCCAGACCTTCCACCTTCTAAAATATAAAGCTTTTAAGAAGTTAGCTAACGCCGCCGCCGCCGCCGCCGGATCGCTATCCCTATGTCGAGCTTTCTGCGACAAAAGTCGCAGGCTCGACAAAAACATGACCCAAAATTTAAAATCTAAATACACGGGTTAAATTTGGAATATCAAAGAACCCCAATAATTCAATTTTAGATGAAATCAAACAAAGTTAAATTTTGGACCCTTTTCACCTCAATATGAACCAATTTGATAGCGGGGCCCACAAATAAACAATCTAAATACATGGTTAGATTCAGCATATCAAAGAACCCCATATATTCAATTTTTGTTGAAATAAAAAAAAGTTTAATTTTGGACCCCAACTTGGACCAACTTGAAAACTGGGCCAAAAATAAAAAATCTAAACACATGTTTTTACATTCAGCAGATCAAAGAACCCCAAGAATTCAATTTTTGTTAAAATCAAACTAAGTTTAATTTTGGACCCTTTGGACCTTAATGTAGACCAATTTTAAACAAGAGTGCACACGCTGAAATGTCTCGCCTTCTTTACTAATCATTGATATTATGTTGATAGTCCTAAATATAAAGCTTTATTACAACTGTCACATAAACTTAACATTAACCAAGTAAACTAAACATTGACCAATGAACCATGAAAATGAGGTCAAGGTCAGATGAACCATGCTAGGCAGGCATGTACAGCTAACAATTCTTCCATACAACAAATATAGTTGACCTATTGCTTATAGTTTAAGAAAAACAGAATAAAACACAAAAACTTAACACTGAGCAATGAACCTTGAAAATGAGGTCAAGGTCAAATAAAACCTGCGTGACTGACATATAGATCATAAAATATTTCCATACACCAAATATAGTTGAACTATTGCATATAGTATTAGAAAAAAAGACCAAAACTCAAAAACTTAACTTTGACCACTGAACCATGAAAATGAGGTCAAGGTAAGATGACACCTGCCAGCTAGACATGTACACCTTACAATCATTCCATACACCAAATATAGCTGACCTATTGCATGCAGTATTAGAAAAAAAGACCAAAACTCAAAAACTTAACTTTGACCACTGAACCATGAAAATGAGGTCAAGGTCAGATGACACCTGCCAGCTAGACATGTACACCTTACAATCATTCCATACACCAAATATAGTAGACCTATTGCATACAGTATAAGAAAAAAAGACCAAAACACAAAAACTTAACTATAACCACTGAACCATGAAAATGAGGTCAAGGTCATATGACACCTGCCAGTTGGACATGTACACCTTACAGTCCTTCCATACACCGAATATACTAGACCTATTGCTTATAGTATCTGAGATATGGACTTGACCACGAAAACTTAACCTTGTTCACTGATCCATGAAATAAGGTCGAGGTCAAGTGAAAACTGTCTGACGGGCATGAGGACCTTGCAAGGTACGCACATACCAAATATAGTTATCCTATTACTTATAATAAGAGAGAATTGAACATTACAAAAAATCTGAACTTTTTTTTCAAGTAGTCACTGAACCATGAAAATGAGGTCAAGGACATTGGACATGTGACTGACTGAAACTTCGTAACATGAGGCATCCATATACAAAGTATGAAGCATCCAGGTCTTCCATCTTCTAAAATATAAAGCTTTTAAGAAGTTAGCTAACGCTGCCGCCGCCGCCGCCGCCGGATCGCTATCCCTATGTCGAGCTTTCTGCGACAAAAGTCGCAGGCTCGACAAAAACGGGACCCAAAATTAAAAATCTAAATACACGGTTAGATTTGGCATATCAAAGAACCCCAATAATTCAATTTTTGATGAAATCAAACAAAGTTTAATTTTGGACCCTTTTGACCTCAATATGAACCAATTTGATAGCGGACCCACAAATAAAAAATCTAAATACATGGTTAGATTCAGCATATCAAAGAACCCCATATATTCAATTTTTGTTGAAATCAAACAAAGTTTAATTTTGGACCCCAACTTGGACCAACTTGAAAACTGGGCCCATAATCAAAAATCTAAACACATGTATAGATTCAGCATATCAAAGAACCCCAAGAATTCAATTTTTGTTACAATCAAACTAAGTTTAATTTTGGACCCTTTGGACCTTAATGTAAACAAATTAAAAAAACAGGACCCAAAATTAAAAATCTAAATACACGGTTAGATTTGGCATATCAAAGAACCCCAATAATTCAATTTTTGATGAAATCAAAGTTAAATTTTGGACCCTTTTGACCTCAATATGAACCATTTTGATAGTGGGGTCCACAAATAAAAAATCTAAATACATGGTTAGATTCAGCATATCAAAGAACCCCATATATTCAATTTTTGTTGAAACAAATAAAGTTTAATTTTGGACCCCAATTTGGACCAACTTGAAAACTGGGCCAAAAATCAAAAATCTAAATACATGTTTAGATTCAGCATATCAAAGAACCCCATAAATTCAATTTTTGTTAAAATCAAACAAAGTTTAATTTTTGGACCCTTTGGACCTTAATGTAGACCAATTTGAAAACTGGACCCAAAATTAAAAATCTAAATACACGATTAGATTCGGCATAACAAATAAATAAGGTCAAAGATTTTAAAATCTAATGCGCCATACTGTGCAATTAAAGATTACTTCTTGAAATTTTTCAATATTTGAAATTTGAAAAAAAAATAATATCTGAAGAATAATTCTTTTTAATTTCTAAAATCTGAAATGAGAAAAAATTGACCCCCACAACTTCTTTTTACCCCCCCCCCCCCCTTTTTCCCCCAAAAAAATCTTTCCCTCAAGATATGGTCATAATCTCAATCAAATTTCCAATGGAGTTTGCAACCATAATTTCCCATTTAAATTTACCATAGTGCTAACTTAATCTATTTTATAATAGAATTTAAAATATAGTGTCAAATCTTTCATATGGATTTTTTTGGAAAAAAAATAGATGCAACATTTGCAGATATTTTTACTGGTCTTCCTTTATAAATATGCATTTCTTTAAACATAATTTAAAAGCAGTGTAAGGGAAGTAACCAAAACGTTGTATTTGGATTACCTCCCTTACACTGTTTTAAATTATCTTAATTGTTCATTAACCTTTACTTTATACATAATTTAAAAGCAGTGTAAGGGAGATAATTTCAATGATGTATTTGATTTATCTCCCTTACACTGCTTTAAATTATGTTTTGTACTAAAGTATTTGTCCATGAACCAGGACAACCTTGTTTTTATCCCTTTTTTGCCCCCAATTCCTAAACAGTTTGAGCAATAACCCCCAAAGCAAATCCTAACCATCCCTTTGTGGTATGGAAACTTGTAGTATAATTTCAGAGAGATCCATACACCGTTCCACAGTTAGTCTGGAAATTAGAAAAAGCTTATGTTTTGCCCCTAATTCCTTAACTGTTGGTACCATAACCCCCAAAATCAATCCCCACCTTCCTTTTGTGGTATTGAACCTTATGGTAAAATTTCAAAGAGATCCATTCACTTAAACTAAAGTTAGAGTGTGAAAACCAATGTGTCTTCGGACGACGTCGCCAAAATTTTTTTGCGGTCGTATAAAAACTAAACATTGTCCATTGAACCATGAAAATGAGGTCAAGGTCAGATGAAACCTGCCAGTCAGACATGTTTATCTTTCAATCCACTATATTTTAGTTCCAAGAAATAAAGGTAACGGTTAGATGAATCCTGCCAGTCCGAAATGTACACCTTACAATCATTCCATACATCAATTATAATTGACCTATAGCTTATAGTATCCAAGATAGACACTTTATCCCAGATCCATGAAACGAGGTCGAGGTCCAGTGGTCTACCCGAAAAATGATGAAAGGAACCCAAATATCAAATTTAGTTGTCCTATTACTTATCACTTAACAAATGAGCAGTAACTGAACCATGAATATGAGGTCAAAGACATACTACATTCAGAAATTTTGCAGCATAAGGTATCTGCATACAAGGATTGAAGCTTCCAACGAATATTACACCATTGCTGGATTGTAATACCCACATCTTCCATTCAGAGACTTTCTTTGAATACGAGACTAAAATCCATTATTAAGGGTGAAGTCATTTAATGGTTTAGGACATATAGACTGATTTGGTTATTTATATTTAAATCTCAACCTGGTTATATTTATACACACAGCTTTCAAATGTTGACTGATAAATTATCCAGAAAAGTGCTTACTACTCATTGAAAGTGAAACTGCAAGCTACTGCTCACTGATGATACCCAAGTGTTCAGAAAACCGGAAGTTGTTGAGTGATGAATCTGAAAACGCATCACACTGTAAAGCTGACTAATATAAACCCTGAAACCAAATTTCAGAAATCCTTATGATGTAGTTCCTGAGAAAGATGTGACATAAAATATTCATGGGACGTACAGACAGAGGTAAAACAGTGTACCCCCCCCCCTTTTTTAAAGCGGGGGAATAATTATTTTCACCTATGTAGATCTTGTTTTGCTATTTACAGTAATTACCTACATGTACCTATCATACTGATTGAGACAATAAACCTCAAATTATTTATATATAGTCATTAAACAGCATAAACTTCAGTAAGGTCATTTTGGTGGTAATGGAATGTATGTAGATCAGGACATTCTGACCATTGTAGCTCAAGTCTTTTATCAGAATAGTCAACCAATCTGTAAATTGACCCATCTATTAAGGTTTTTTAAGACGGACAATCATTGCAGTATACATGCAAGTTTTTTTTTCCACCAAGCCATGTTGGGTGATAGGCAACAGTTGATTTACATGTATAAAGGACAGATTACACTTTCCCAGAGCCACTTATTAACAGGGCATAAAACATGTTCACCTATACTATGACCATTTACACCTAGATAAAATTCTACATGATATGCAGATGAAATCAGACAACAAATTTTTCATTGTTTTTTTCTTTTTTTAATTTCTTTCAATAACTCTGTCATTGTATTTAGATCATTCTTCTCAATAGAGGATTGATCTGGTCCTCTCGGCATCCAAAGTCTCCACCATCATTGAAATGGTTATACTTTCTCCTCCAACCACCATTTGGTGTGTTTAGTTTGAAGGGCCATAAGAAGTTGGAAGCCTGTTTGAAGTTTGGTCCTACAGTGACAATTTCATGGATCAAATCTTCCATACAGATCATTCCATATTTACCTGAAGAATAGAAAAAACTTTGTATATAATATATCTTTCGACAAAATAAATGTTGGTTGGTCCATTTTAGTACTTTTTGTTTTCAAAATATGAACATATGTAGAGACTATTTACCTATAAGAATCAGTGGTCGAGTTTTAGACAAAGATGAACCTTTTTGGCAAATCCTTAGACTTTTGGTTCCTCAGTGCTCTTACAACTTTGTACTTGATTTGGCCTTTTAACTATTTTGATTCGAGTCACTGACTGGTCTTTTGTAGATAAAATGTACATCATGTGTACAAAATTATAAGCCTGATATCTTTGATACTTATATCTTTTTTTAAGACCAGTACAGGTAGAAAGGTTTCAAAGATGCAATAGTGATTTACAGTTGATTTGACCTAATTGACATGTATTAGGTGTGTCTAGTTTTCACCAAGATATTCAAAATGTGTTATGCAAACAAGAAAGATTTCATAAATTTATATTAAAAGATTACCTAAACTTTTCTCGATGATCGAGTTGTCAGTCAGTGGTATTCTCTGTCCTCTTACTTTAGCATATCCTCTCTTGTAGACCAATTCTCTTACACTCTTCAAGTTGGGATAGCTGAAATTCAAGTTGATAGAATAAACCACTGGATATGAAAAATGCACGGTTTAGGTACATGTATAATCAAATGTTTAAAAATCACGATGCTGAATTATAATTGCTGTCTAAAAAACTAAACTGCAAGACCCTAAGAATTACATTACATGTTGTGCTGATCTCCCTCTTGTGTGTTTCAGACAAATGTCAATCCGCTGTGATATTGTTGTCTTTTTTTAAAACTACCTCTACCCTTTTTTTGGGGAAAAATGCATCATTTTTTTGGAAATTGGGAAGTTTTGAATAAAAATTAATTGTACATGAATTCGACAAGACTGAACTTAATATAAATGATAAGACTAAGTCATAACAGTTAATTTTCAAAAGGAACTTTTTGGAGAGGGTAAAAACGGAAAAAATGACGGTACTTAATACATTGAAAACCATGTGTGTTACAAGCACCGTTATGATTCTAATCAGAAACCAGGATCTCAAAAGCGCTTTCATAATATCAAAATAATAACACGATACGCAATTTACACACATTATGACCGATGCCATCACCGTTTGGGAAAAATGTACAACTTATTGGGAGGAATTTTATGCCAATTTTTTTTATTAATTGGGAATTTTCTCTAAGGGAAAAAGCCGATTTTTCGGAGGTAATTTGAGGCAAACAATATCACTGAATCCTGAAAAGGACTTCATTTATGGAAACCAAAATCAGACTTGTTTATCCTTTTTAACTTAAAAATATATCTAAGAGTACACATTTTATACAATTGATTTTCTAGTGCAAACATCTGTTATACATTGTACCATGGAAGTATTATATTGACAGGAATAACAACAACACCAGTTCAAAGGTTTCATCTGCGTTACCGCCCATGTTCGGATTACTCGTTATTTGAATTAAGATATGGAATGGTAATTGACTCTCAGCATGTTATATGATGAAATCACTGACACTATCCAGTCAATTTCGTGTTCACAGAAATATACGAACACACTGGTTGTTGTCGAATATACTTACAAAATAACCTGAATAATTCACTCGTACGATGGCCACATTAATCTTGCATATAGAAGAGGACTGGATTTATTCTAACGAAATTACAATTTGCATGTAGTCACTCGTTCAATGTTGATTTCCCCCCCTTTTTTCCTATTTATGTCTTTTTTCTATCTTTATAATTTAAACTGACAGTTATCACATATGAAATGGAGGAAATAAAGTGGATCACTCAATTTCAATATTTAAAGATAGATTAATGTCCCTTGTGTAATTTAGTTTTTCATGATAAAGGCAAATCATGTGAGGTTCTTTTTTTTCTAATTTTCCACATTAAAGACAGTTTAATTTAGAATCTATTTCTGAAAGTTAAGAAGATAATTGTACAAAAATATGTTTTGACCTCCTTTTTTAAAATAATAATAGTCATTCGTGTTTTCTTGTCAATTAAAATATTCACGATTTTAAACATTTCTACTCTTTTAATTTTTACATAAACGAATTCATAAAAAAATCTAAATAACCCACTAAAATACATTTGCTGTAACGTAGAAAGATAGCATTACCTGTTTTACTCGAGCTCCTCTTTAAAATGGAAAATACTTTTAGATCCATTTAGAATAAACAGAAAAAAACAAATAATTTCCATGTTAAATTGTTGTAGTTTAAACAATTCTTGTCAGTTTTTCAAATTTTTGACACCCCTCTATTTCTTTCTAAAGGTAGAAGTTTTATATACTATAGCGCCACCTTGCTATTAATAAACTTCAGATTTCACGTAGGTCGGCTATAATTACCAGACTTGATAAAATCATGTTGCAGTAAACAAAAGAAATTCCAGATGCCATTTACAACCGCGGTATCATAAATAGTAACCAAAGGGGTCTCGTCGTGAGACAATAATTGGATACATCCTACGACTTTAGTACAGAGCTCTGCAGGTCATTAATACATGCTAATTAATCGTTATTATTCCTTATCATTTTACTTCCATGGTTATATACATTCCATAGTCTTTCAATATATTTTTTGTGCCTTCACAATTTTTTGGGGGCATTTTTGAACAGGCATTTTCCAAGGCAGACTGTTTCCATAGTTGAAACCAGTTTATAAATTTTTGAAATATATAAAATTATTTGCCTGCTTATAAACTCATTTTTTTCAGCATGCAAGCAAAAACACAACAAAAATATTTTGTTGGCCTTGTATCATGAAATTATTTTATATTCAGATTAATTAAGGTCAAATATATTTAGTCTTACCCCCATGTAATGTATGGCTCAGCAATTCTCAGCATGTTGATGGTAGCTTTGTTCAGTTTCATGAATGTACCGTTGTTGATCTGTCGTAGTCGGAAAAGCTGCATAACCTTTCTTGGTTTGGGATGAACACCATTTATACTGAAAAACGGAATTTAAATTGTTAACAAAATGCTCCGCTGGGCGCAGCTTGATACGACCGCAGAGGCCGAACCCTGAACAGTTGGGGCAAGTATGGACACAACATTCAAGCTTGACACAGCACTGAATTTGGATTGTGATTAAATATTTGACACAGCATAGGTTTCTGACACAGAATTAATGTGGTCTAAGAACTTAAAATTTTTTAATTTACCTTTTCAAACCATATCATTATTATTTGCTTTAATATATAAATCAGAAATAACCCATTTATAAAATGGAAAATTTTAAAGAAAAAAAAAAATCCCTCCCCTAAATTTTTTGAACCCCCTTATGATTCATCACCCGCAAACTCAATCCCAGCCTTCCCTTTGTGGTATGGTACCTTGCAGTACAATTTCAGAGAGATCCATACACTTGAACACAAGTTATTGTCTGGAAACTAGAAAAATGCTTGTTTTTAGGCCCTTTTTTGGCCCCAAATTTCTGAACGTTTAGGGCAATTACCCCAAACTCAAACCCAGCTTTTCTCTGGTGATATGGAACCTTGTAGTACAATTTTATAAAGATCCATACACTAACACACGAGTTATTGTCCTGAAACTAGAAAAATGCTTGTTTTTTTTTCCTTTTTGGCCCCTAATTCCTAAAATTTTGAGGCAATTACCCCCAAAATCAATCCCAGCCTTCCCTTTGTGGTATGGTACCTTGTAGTACAATTTCAGAGAGATCCATACACTTGAACACAAGTAATTGCCTGGAAACTAGAAAAATGCTATTTTTGGCCCCTTATTCCTAAATGTTTTGGGCAATTACCCCCAAACTCAATTCCAGCTTTCCCTTTGTGATATGGAACCTTGTAGTTCAATTTCAGAAAGATCCATACACTTACACACAAGTTATTATCATGAAACTAGAAAAATGCTTGTTTTTTGGCCCCTAATTCCTAAAATTTTCAGGCAATTACCCCCAAAATCAATCCCAGCATTCCCTTGTGATATGGAACCTTGTGGTACAATGTCAGAGAGATCCATACACTAACACACAAGTTATGTCTGGAAGTTACAAAAATGCTTATTTTTGGCCCCTAATTCCTTAACTGTTGGTACCATAACCCCCAAAATCAATCCCAACCTTCCTTTTGTGGTATTGAACCTTATGGTAAAATTTCATGGAGATCCATTCACTTAAACTAAAGTTAGAGTGCGAAAACCAATGTGTCTTCGGATGACGCCGACGTCATACCAATTTTTTAAATTTTGGGGTCGTATAAAAACCATTAATTATTCACTTGGGTTGACCAATAATTTTCAATGTTATAATAAATTCCAATGCTTCGTGAATCATTAGAAACAACTTCACTGGCAGTCCCTAATCAAAGGCACGATCTACATTGCAAAAATACCCTCACTGAAATATTTTGGGTAGGACAAACAGATGAATTTACACATGTACAACGTTTGATAATTGTAAGTGAAGAACTTGTTAAGATGATACTGTGGAAATCAGGTGTTGATTGGTCAGACTGGCTTAGCTTATGGATTCTCTGGGTACTCTTAATAGTTATTCCTGAACTTTTTTATGGCCTATATTTTTGCGACTAGAATAACAATGATCATAAATTTATTTACCTATGCAATGGGAAATAACCCCTGAAATACTGCATCCACTATAGCAGAATTATATCTGAGACCTGTATGGTATACACATGTTGTTATTATTTATCAAACTATCCATCTCACAAATTACTATTTTGAATCAAAGTGGAACAAAGTTTAAACATGATTTCAGTTTTTTGACAAGTGTAACAGAATGGAAATAGTTTGAAACACACAAGAACAGATACAACTAACCAAATAAATGATTAAAACGATAACAATCTGACCAATTCTGGTCTCCTATTAGCCTTTGTTTTATATTATTTTGGTGAAAGTTGTAACAAAGTTACCCTCTGATTCTGGTAACAAAAGCCAGTCTAGATTCTGGAGGCACATAGAAGTTGTTTCCTTTCTTGGCCTGTCTCTGGAGGCGGATCTGATCACGTTCCTTCCCTCTGTATTCTTTGACATATTTTTCAGCCCTTTTAAAGATGACTTTTTTCTTTTCGGCTTGTTTCTATACAAACAAATCAAGGCTATTAAAAGTAAGCACATTCATATCTAAATAATTTGAAACTTTTTTAACTGGCTTAGGCAATTGTAACCTCCATAGCACACTATGATTTGCTTACAGTATATCAAATTAACTAGTCTTTTTTCTGTTTAATTCCTTAATCACTAAACAAAAGAAATTACAAACACATTAAAACAGAAGATTCAGATTTTATTGCAACAATAAACTCTTGTCAAAACTCTATTTAACACAATAATGATCAGAATGAAAGTAGAGCCCTGGAAATAAAATCTGTTTTCCTTAGAAATACACGACATCTGACGGTATAAAATGATTACAAATTCTGAACAATTTACTGATCTAGTACTGTATCAGTTCATAGTGCTCTTACTTAAAAAAATCTCAAAATGAATTAATTCTCAAAAAGGATGTTAAAACTATAGGAATGGTGGTACCCTGATATCTAAAATGTCCCAACTGATACAATACAATAATTATGATCAGTTACAGTTCTCCGAATGCTGTTACACCAATGGGCTACCTGGATGTTCAATATCAGTTTTCCTTACCAGACATTCTTTCATTCTTTGCTGTCCCCCCACCACCACCCCAACACACTAACAAAGAATGGAAAGTATGTAAATTTGAATGAAAAGAAGCTTTGACATACCACAATCGTCAATAATAGAAATTTACTGAAACAACTATATATAAGAAGGCTAATTTTATTTTTTTTTTCAGAAGAAATGCCACGTTGTTCGAAACTTGTTTTCAATTCCCCTTGAAATCTACACGATAAATCTTACTTGAACTCCTTTTTCCAGTCCAATGTGAAGACCGGTATATCAAAATGTTCTTCCCCTAGGATTGCAGCTTTGGCCTTCTTATCTTAAAATTCTAAAATTAGAAGAGCTGAGCATCCTAGGGATCTTTTTTCATATCATGATGATATACGTCTATTTCTTCAAATTCTGGAACCAAAAACTGAGCATCCTATATACAAAAATGTGCATTTTGTTAGGATTGCAGCTTTAGCCTTCTTACTTTGAGCTCTTCAAGAGCCTAGCATCTTTGATACCTTTTTGATCCCTGTCCACGAGTTGGTCCAATCAATTCAAATCCTGCATGGAGTACAGAAGCTTACTACCTTTTTAATTTCTAATAGGATTGCAGCTTTTAACTTCACTTTAATTTATGCAAGAAGAGCTGAGCATCCTAAATTCCTTTCACCATTTTAAGTTAGGAATGCAGCTCTTGCCTTTTTACATCAAATCCTGCAAGAGCTGAGCATCCTTTTTACCTTTTTGGCCATAACGGCAGATTTTGCCTTCTTTGCTCGGACTTCTTCATTTCTTTTTCTTCTTTTAAGAAGGGTTTCAGGCACTTTGGGAGTCTTTCTGAAAAATAAAGTGAATTTTTAGCAATTGTTAATACAGTAGAACATATATATACATTCAGATAGACTAAACCAAATTTAACTATTACCAGACTTTTGCCAAAATATGACGGACCTTAGTGCAACTGAAAAAGAGTTGGACCTTAAATTAATAGAATATCTGTGACCTGTTGGATACTTGATGTATTCATGGAGCCTACTGAATATATAATTGAGCTTGCTTTGCAATCTTCAAAAATGCCTTTGGAGTTCCCTATTGATTTTAATACCTCTATTGGATCTGCTCAGAAAGATCGACATGATCTTTATTAGTTTAATAACATGTACTCAGACTGTTTTGTTGACTTCAACATTAATCAGTACAGGTCTGTGTGATAGCATCATTGTACATGAATCAAAGGTGATGAGCAGAACAAAAACTACATCACATTAATCTTGTTCAGTAAAACATTCCAGCTACTTTCACAATATATCAATAAATAATTGATTGGATTATATTATATCTACATAAAAAATAGCAAAATTTTACGAGCATAATTTGCCTAACATTAAAGATTGATTGATTGTTAGTATTTGATGCCACTTTCAGCACTTTTGGCTATGTTATGGCAGAAATGAGGGTGTCCGTTAAGAACAACTGATCCTCCTCAGCAAAACTGACAGTCCTAGTCAATCAAGATTAGAACCCACAACACCTGCCACATTCAGGTTAGAACTTAGAATTAATAATCTTTATAAGTGAGCCAGTGGCAGGCTTGTAATACTGATGAATCTTAGCTATGTACGACCATTCTGCCATCGAATGAAGAGTCCCTCCTGTTTGGCAAAGGTATCTTTTTACAAAAATATATTAAAAGGCTTTTTAAATTATTTGGACATTTAAAATGGAGAATGTGTCACAAACAGACCAAAGAGCACTTTAAGTGTGAATACATGGATGGGATCCAGGGCTTACACTACTTCAGAATCATAGGGAGAAGTGACCTCTTTTTTTGAAACTGATAAGAAGTGTTGAGACTTAAAAGAGAAGTGCTCTTTCAATGGCTGCGCTACAATGTTTTGTTTTTACCACAATATAAAGAGCCATATGTATCCTATTTATGTTCAATTCAAACCTGAGAATACAATAAAAGTAAGTTGTTTCAGTTAATTTCTTAAATAATCATTATATACTATAGTAGTCCAAATAATTATGACTTCTTGAAAGGCTATCTTAATTTTTTTCTGCGACGCCTTCCTACGAATAATTTTACTGAGTTAAGATATTTTATATTCGCCGGAAGTGAAGTATCTCGGAAATTCTGGGAAACCATTTAGAAATCAAAATAAATATTTGCCCACCTCAAGTGGAATCGTATCTTATTTTATCATTTCTTTTGGATATTTCTGGAAATATTTTGCACCAATAAGCACAAAAAAGGTGAGACTTTGAATCTTTGCAAAAAATTATAATAGTCAATGATTTCATGCCAAAAAGTGGGTTTCAAAGTTCCCCCAAAAATTCTCTCTCAAAGTCCAGATGGAAAAAATGGCTTCAGCATTATGACGTCGTAGGAAGGCGTCACAGAAAAAAAATTAAGGTAGCCTTTCAAGACGTTGTAAGGCGTCACAGAAAAAAATAAAATGGCCTTACAAGACGTCATAATTATTTGGACTAATACTATACATTGTAGTTAATTATATTTTTTCCTCTTGTCAGAAACTTCCAACTATATATCTAGCACTAAAAAGATTTTTTTTGTAGCAAAATAGAAAAGAAAGTATCATATATCAATTAAAATTCAATCAAAAAACTATTTCTGTTTATCATCTTTATGAAATTCATTGTTTCTTATTAAAAAGACGTATAAATTTAACAAAGTTGGGCAACTTTAATCAATAAATTGAAACTATTAATGCATTTACATTTACTATTTAGAACACTAGGGCGACGGTCTGGCAAATCAAAGTGACGAACCTGAAAGTGACTTTTTGTCGAGCCTTCGACTTTTGTCGAAAAAGCGAGACATAGCGATCCTACATTCCGTCGTCGTCCACAAATATTCACTCTGTGGTTAAAGTTTTTGAAATTTTAATAACTTTCTTAAACTATCCTGGATTTCTACCAAACTTTGACAGAAGCTTGTTTATGATCATAAGATAATATTCAAAAGTAAATTTTGTAAAAAAAAAATTCCATTTTTTCCATATTTTACTTATAAATGGACTTAGTTTTTCTGCCAAGAAACATTACATTCACTCTGTGGTTAAAGTTTTTGAAATTTTAATAACCTTCTTAAACTATCCTGGATTTCTACCAAACTTGAAAAGAAGCTTGTTTATGATCATAAGATAGTATCCAGAAGTAAATTTTGTAAAAAAAAAAATCAATTTTTTCCGTATTTTACTTATAAATGGACTTAGTTTTTCTGCCAAGAAACATTACATTCACTCTGTGGTTGAAGTTTTTGAAATTTTAATAACTTTCTTAAACTATCCTGGATTTCTACCAAACATGGAAAGAAGCTTGTTTATGATCATAAGATAGTATCCAGAAGTAAATTTTGTAAAAAAAAAAATCCATTTTTTCCGTATTTTACTTATAAATGGACTTAGTTTTTCTGCCAGTTAACATTACATTCACTCAGTGGTTAAAGTTTTTAAAATTTTAACAACTTTCTTAAACTATCCTGGATTTGTACCAAACTTGGACAGAAGCTTGTTTATGATTAAAAGCTAGTATCTAGAAGGAAATTTTGTTAAAATTTTGTTTGATTTTTTCCATATTTTACTTATAAATGGACTTTGTTTTTCTTCCAGTTAACATTACATACAGTCTGCAGTTTAAGTTTTTAAAACATTTATTAGATTCATAAACTATCCTGGATTTTTACCAAACTTGGACAGAAGCTACTAACAATCAAAAGATAGTATAGAGAGGTATATTTTTTTTAATTTTTTTCCTCATTTTTGTTGAGCCTGCGATTAACAGCAAAAGTAGGCGAGACACTGGGTTCCGCGGAACCCTTACGAATTTTTTGCCACAGTCGCCTGCTAGTGTGATCCCTAGGACCAATAGGAACCCTCAATCTCTGGATCTAAAGGCAGCGCTCTTCACCAATTGAATCAAAGATGATCTTCCCCCAACTCAACCAGATCGACTACCTTTACATCTCGAGTTATACATGTACATTTGTAAATGTTCAGAAAAAATGACTGCTCAGTCTCAGATATATGTGTTTTCAACAATCTTTAATGGGCCAAACAACATGTACTCAGACTGTTTTGTCGACTTCAACATTAATCAGTACAGGTCTGTGTAGTAGCATCATTGTACATGCATACGAAGAGAGAAGAAATCAAAGGGACACACAGCTAAGTTGCGGTTATTAACAGACAAGCAATTAAAAATAAAGTGACACACATAACAAATCAGGCCTCTACAATAACTTTTTTTTCAACTTGTCCAGTAGGACAAGTACATACCAAAACTAACTTGTCCAAATGAAATTGTAACTTGTCCAAAAAAATCTTAATAATAACCTTTTTTGCAATTTAAGTTGATTCAAGGAACAAAATGAATTAAAACAATAGAACATAATTTGATTTATATCTTTTGAAATACTATTCAAAAATATGAGTCGAATACAACTGAATCTAGTCATGTCACAGGACTTAGGTTCTACATGTAGTTCATCAATGCCAATGTCTCATCAGATTCTGCACATGAGGCACCGTCTGATAGGGCTGTCAATGTACACTCATTGGATTTGTATCCTGGTTTTTTTTAAGTTGAAAAAAGTTTATTCAAATGCAATCAATAAAAAAAAAGATGAGGTATAATTGCCAATGAGACAACTCTCTGCAAGAGACCAAATGACACATAAATTAACTACTATAGGTCACCGTATTGCAAGTATTGTTTTTTTCTACATATGATCAAATATGATTTTGTGAATTTAATGGTAAATAATTTTTCATTTTTATTTAAAAAATATTTTTGTTAAAAAAATTACCGGTATGTTATTTATTATAAAGCAACAGAATAAGGTAGGAAAACGAGGTACTGATTTGTCTTGGTCCCGAAATGTCTCCTGCGTTGCCAAACTGTCTACTAATCATGTCTATTAAATATGTCTCCTATGGTGCCAAACTGTCTATTAAACATGTTAAACTTGGAGCCGAATCGTTTCTGAGCTTGTGACGAACTGTCTTGTAAAGTTACCTTATCTACAAAGCGCATCGCTGATTCGGATCAATAAGACTGGTTTCCGAGAATAGAATGCATTTTACCTGTTAAAAAGTACCTGACAAAGACCAGTTTTAAATTATCGATTGCAAGTAAACATGTCTTGTTTTCATCCTCTTTTCTTGTTTTTTGTTTATAATTACTTTGTTCATCAAAGTTGGATTAAATTTACTTTCTGCAGAATAATTTTACTTGTCCCGTCGGACAAGCTTGATATAGTTTTTACTTGTCTGACCCTTTTTCCCTCTGGTACCGGACAATCGGACAAGCGTTATTGTCGAGCCCTGCAAATCATGCAAAATTTTGTTTCTAATACACGTGAACCACCCTCATATAAGAAGTTCAATTTCTCGTTTGTATGTTTAATTTACAAAAAGAAACAAATCGGAAAAGCATTATTAAGAATTAAATTTTCAGTTGTAGCATTTTTTCACATAATTTTGAACAATTTAACGGCAGATTGATGTGGATTGGGTTGCCTAAATTTTCACGTACTTATCCGCCATGACTGCCAAATTGGAAAAGGCCGCTTAACACAATTTTGAGATTGAAAAGAAAAAAATCATTCAATTTAAATGGAAATAAATCTTATGATATAACATCATAAAATTATTTTTTATCAACTGAAAATAAAAATTATTCTCAAAAAAAAAATTCCATTAGTAAATGCACAAACTGATTAATTTTTCTTTGTTGATATAAGGAATAATATAAAGTTCACATGTCAAAAGGTCAACAGTTCAACGTTGTTATGATTGACAGCAGCCCTATATGAAAACGAAGGATGATGTTACCTGATGCAGAAGACAACAGAGCGTTGTCAAAGGAAGGTGTGCGGGAAAAAGAGACTAAAATGTCAATTTTTATTGACTGCATTGAAGCTTTGAAGGCATTTTTAGTTGCTTACATGACATCGATTTGGAGATTTTTTGTCTCTCCCCCAAACAAATCGGTGACGAGTGAGATAGTCTTAATTACGGGGAGCGGTTCAGGGATTGGGAGACAGTTGGCATTGGAATTTGGAAAGTTAGGTGCTATTCTTGTGCTATGGGATATCGATGAAAAAGCAAACGAGGAAACAGGAAATCTGATGAAAAAGTTTGATGTGAGATTCCATCTTTACAAATGTGATGTTGGGTAAGGTCCTATTTAAAAGTCAAATGTTTTATAAAAAAATCTTAAGAGAAAAAATAAGTACTGTCATACACCTTTGCTTTAATATATATCACCTATGTATATCTGACTTTATTATAAACATGATAACTTACAAGTGAAAATAATTGTGACTTCTTGATAGGCTATTTTAATTTTTCACTGTGACAACGTTGTAGGAAGACATCACAGCAAAAAATTAAAATAGCCTATCAAGAAGTCAAAATTATTTTCACTAGTAAGTTATCATGTTTATAATACGGTCAGATATATATTTGAGCAAAGGTGTATGACAGTACTCATTTTTTCTCTTAAGATTTTTTTATAAAACATTTGACTTTAAAATAAAATACAACTTTTGTTTTGTGTTTTGTTTCCAAAAAAAGGATACAATATTTTTTTCTCATGTCTTAGTCTATGTAAGATTGTAAATTATGCACAAATGAACTGTATAAAAATTAGGTTATAGTTTTAGTGCAGTTTATTTAAGTATGAGAGCTATTAGTTTTGTGAATTCACTGGCTTAGTAAGTTTGGTGTTTTTTAATTAGTAATAGTACAGATACCAGTCATTGCCAGTAGTGGATCCAAGAGGGGAGGGGGCTTGTATTTGTTGGAACAGCCTTTTAAAAATGGCTGGATCTGTGTTTGGATACAACAGCTATATATATGTATGATAAAGAAACAATTTGACGTAGGAGACAGAGTTTTAATTAGAGTACCAACTTCATTTCTGCTAATTTTAATTGGTTTCATGTCGATCCGGCCCCACGTCGATCCGGCCCAAGTCGATCCGTCCCACGTCGATCCGGCCCAACGTCGATCCGGCCCATATTTAAAGTCGATCCGGCCCCAATAAAAAAATATATTTATAAGGACTTGGGGCCGGATCGGTTTGGGGACGGAACGACCGGATACCTTTTAATTGACCAAATTATACATTTGTACCAATCTTTGAATTACGTCATATTAAAGTAAGTAGACTCTGAAATACACCTCAATAGACAATACAGAGTTCTTGGCCTTAATAATATATGAGAGATGTTTATTATTTGCCTTTTATGTTTGTGATTTAAATTACTCGTCAAAATAATTTTGTATGAACAATATTAAAAATGACAAGAATTTAAAGTTGTTTACTGGGCATTGCTAGCTGTAGTGTTTCGAGTGTTAGATTTTATGTAAACATGATAAAGTAAGTCTACATGTATTGAGAAAATAAAGCAGGTACTAGCAACATTTTTTACATGCACACATCAACATAAGCAATAAAGTACATGTAAAACAAAAACCAGAGTGGTTGTAAAGTATTATGGATTTCATCTTTGATTTGTTACATTTAGGTTCTTGTTGCTCAATCTTAATTTCTGTCTATTGGTGTTTTTTGTTTTTATTGGAGTTTTTGGATTTTGCCCCTTGGTATCTTGTCCTCTTTTTAGATGCTTTAAATGCTAAATCCCCATTAATTTTCTCATCAGCAAGAGTTACTTGAAACTGAACCACACTCATACCACTACATGTACATTGTGAGTACTGCACATCTGAAGACAATTGGAAGAAATATGTAAATTAATATCACCAAACTTAGATTAAATGATCATAATTTATTGATTGAAAAAGGAAGACCCTTCAAAATTCAAATTTAACCTATTCAGTCTGTGAGTTCTGCAATACAAATGAAGATGAGAACATTACCTTTTGAATTGCAGGAAAAACTTGAACCATTTAGGATTAATTATCTCAACACCAGCAAGAGTGGCCTTTAGAAATATTAACGGTACCAATTTTATTGCATCAAATGCTCAGTTGAAGTTTGAGTTTAACAGTGATGCTCAAGGCTTAAATATTTGACATACAACAACCTTATACAAACATTGAAGAGCTGATAAAACCAAAAAGGACCAAAACTAAATTCAAACCCGAACAAGATATCAGTCTGAGCTATGTATAAGGGAGGTAAATTCCTTAATTTAAACAGCAAATTGATATAGAATAACATCCATATTTTCATGCCAGTACCATTACAGTGATTATATGGCTGGTGATAATATACCCTCAGGGACTTAAACAGCAGCAGTATATCATGTATCTTTAACTGAACAGCCTTGTGTGTACTGTAGAAAATAAAGATAGATGACTGCATGGTCTCTGCTTCATTTTTGGATAAGAGCCATTTTTAAAGATCTACAATGAGAATGTTTTGTAGAAAATAGCGATGTCCCTTGATTTTTGATATGAAATCTAAGGAAAGAAATGAATGTTGAACTTAATGAAAAAATACTGGCCTATATTATTACATGTACATGAGTGTTCATTACTTTAAACAGGTTAAAATTTTGAGCAATTAAAGAACAGTCAATTAACCAATGAATTTATTCATAAACATCAAAGGCATTATGAGTGCACAACCAACCATTTTTTGTGGATGGGCATGGTTTATTTTAAAATAAATTGTTTGATTCTAAATTTTTTTAAAATAAGAAAATCGTTTTAGATGTGAATTGGAAAAAGAATAGTTCAAATGTTTCAATTGGAAATTTGGAAAAAAGGAACATTGAGTTTCAAAAAAAATCTTATTCCTGTACGTTTTTTGTACATACATATATGTTATTGAAAAAATATTTTGTGTTTGATTAAAAGTCAGAAAAACTTTCTTGTCCCTAGAATTAACCCCTTTTATTGGCTTTAAAAGAATAATGGTCAGTGACTAATTTGCAATTTTACAATGCCAAAATACACCAAATTTTCTATATATAATAAGATTTGAGACTGTCATCATTTCAGTAGAAAAGAGGGACAAAAGATACCAGAGGGACAGTCAAACTCATAGATCGAAAACAAACTGACAACGCCATTTCATCATTTCAGTAGAAGCTGATAATTGTCCTAAACTTATTTAAGATTAAATTTATTATATATATAGAAAATTTAGGTATTTTAGCATAGCAGTTTTATCAATACAGATTAATGGTTGCCGTTCTATAAATATAGACAATGCAATTTCCCATAGGAACTCCTTTTACGGCTAAAACTGTGCCACTTTTACTATGAAGTTTTGTAAAAAATTATATCCTAGAATAAAAAATTCATATGCACTACTTTTTTTTCAAAGGTCAAAACATAGGGCTGTGCGGCATATATTTAACATTTATATGCCCCAAACTTCTAAGAGTTTAAACTTGTACTAAAATTCTGTACTACCCCTCTGTTCAATTTGGGTCTTCTTCAGAATTCAATTTGGCTGATAATCCATGTGTACCGGTATTTAAACTGGTAACATTCCCAAGTTATGTATCTATGAGATGCAACATAGAGATCATATCTGCGAACCAGTATGTAAAAACAAAATATCTATGAATATTATTTATCTCCCCAAAAGACATGAAAGAGGCATGGTTTGTGAAACAGCTGTATTTACAATTGCAACCAATAGTCTCTGTTGCATGTACATTGCAGTGGGGTTATTGCAAACAAGGACAAGAATTACACAACTGGCTCAATTTTGAGGTTTTAAAATTTTTCAGGGATGTATTTATGTTAACTTTGGAGAGAAGGAAGTAATTCTAAACCGCCAGCATTTTTACTGGTCTTATTTTGGTTAAGATCTAGTACCAATATATAAGTGATCTGGTTTTCCTATGGTTTTCCTTTTTTTGCCAGACATATGCTATAATTTATTTACTCTTTGCTAGTTTGTTTGTATTAGAAAAGTTAGAACACTTTACCTGTTTCTTTATTCTGTATTCATAGCGTCAATATCAGTATCCTGGTGAAAAGTAGTGGAGTTTGATCAATTATATATTTATTTCAAGTGGTTAGTCTACAGGATCTATCTTTGAAAGTTTAAAGAACATGAAGAAAGCAACCCCCCAAAAAAAGAAAAAAAAACAACAAAAAAACGTCAATTGTAAATGTATATTTATATTTACCATTATGTCCAGGAGGCCTCAGTGGCCAAGTGGTCTAAGTAGTAGAACTACTGTATCACTTGCCTGTCAACAGTTCAAATCAAGCAAGTGGCAGGTACGCTCAACTCCAATCCTAATTGACTACAAATGTAAGTTTTCCTACTGAAGGTCGATGGTTTTCTTTGGGCACTCCAGCTTTCTCCACCAATAAAAAATGACTGCCACAAAATAGCACAATAGTACTGAAAGTGGCTTCAAACACCAATTAATCAATCAATCCATTATGTCCATATTCTATACTTAAATTTTATTTACCAATAGCAACATGTATAGACATCCTGCAACTAAAATACAATCTAAAGCTCCTCATTCAGTTAACTAAAGTCCTCAACCTACTAGAACTTGCAAGCCCTTAACCTTCTTAGAGTATTGGTAACAAATTTTACTTCTCACATTTGATAGATGCGTAAGTTAGACATGCTTTTTGAAAAGCTAATACTTGTTTAAGAAAGGTCAAAACAAATTAGAACAAAAGCATTAATCTTATTAGAATAGTGCATACAAATGATGAAGTACTGTCATTAGATTCTAAGTACTGATTTATTCTAAAGCATGATTTAATGATTTGCATGCTTTGTAATTTTAAATTTCCATGGTTACAAATTTACACTTGTAAATTCGTGACTTTAAACCACAAGTTAATTTTCATCAATTATCCTAAAATATGATATTTGTTGATGTATTATGATAATTATCTTTGATTTTTTATCTTATGAAAAACATACAAGTAAATCATTGTAACAGTAATTGTTACAATGAAAGAGGGGGTCTGGATGGGGGGTCCTTAATTTCTGTATTCTTTATAAATTTTTAGGGTATTCATGAAAATGATTTCTAGTAATGGACTACTGATTATAATGATAACCCATACAAATGAAATACTGTAAATCTGAATTGCGTCCATATATAATTATTGTGGAACAATGGACGAAAATTTGAAATTGATTTTTGCAGTTTTAGAAAATTATGCTGTATAGAGATGCTGGTCTTCTCGATACAAAATAATGGGCCAATACTA